AAGAAAATTGTACATCAGAAAATGCGCCTTGAGGCATGGAACATATGTACCAAATATGCCAAAGATGTCTACAAAATTATCTCAGTTATTATTAAAAAACTGATTATTGTTGAAAACTTTGCCACCCTGTATCTCAAAAGTTAAGGCGTTTAGGACATGCGTCCATAGGACGTTTTTCCCTTAAAATGGGTCTAAGAATTACCTCCTTAAATATTAGCATGTGTTTAAGAAACACCCTGTATATCATATCACACAATGGAAGTCCGAACTAAAGAAATGAAACAAGTTGGTGTCTTCAGGTTGGTAAAAAGCACATCGAGAAAAGTATTGCATTTCTGGCGACTGGGAAACGTACTTGTGTTTGAATACAACGCACCACGAATGCAAAATTCCCACTCGGTTTATATTAGTAATTGTTTAGAAAAAAAAGAAACTTACTTGATATGTGCTACCACAGAATTGTCATTGTAGTTGATATCTTCATTCAAAGTAACAGTATACGTTCTTTCAGAAAACTGAGGATAATTGTCATTGTCATCCAAGATATGAATAACAATGCTGGCACTGGAGGACCTTCTCGCAGTTTGCGGACTAGCCATATCAGATGCCTGTACAATCAAAGTATACACTTCAGTGGTTTCCCTATCCAATGAGGTTCTTGTCGTGACCACTCCGGTCTTCGAATCGATTTTGAAGGCATGATTATCGTCATCTTCCGAAGACGTCCCACCGCCGTTGATGCTCCTTATGCTATACTCCACGTCAGCGTTTTTCCCAATATCTTGATCAGTCGCTTTCAAAGTTATCACAGTCGTACCAACACTAACGCTCTCTTTGATACTCGCGTCATACTCAGTCATTTCGAATACAGGCGAATGATCATTGGCATCCAACACGTTTATCTGCAGCATCGTTGTTCCCGATCGAGGAGGGAAACTATCGTCTAGAGCAGTCACTCTGAAATAATGCACGTCAACCAGTTCTCTGTCCAACTGAACTTTCGTTGTCACAACTCCGGTTTTTTGGTCTATGTCGAACATGGCTTGGGTTCTTGAGTCCAAGAGACTCGTCATGGAGTAGGTGATCGGACTGTTTTCAGGATCTCTCGCCTTAACTGTGGTAACGACCACGGGAGGATCACATTCTTCCAATACGCTTGCAACGTAAAGGTGCTGCTCGAAAAATGGCGACTGATTCCTCAACTCCCTCCTCACCCGCTTTGCTATGTCTGTATCGTTGAATTGTTGATGATAATAAACGATTTTCAGTCTGTGCTCCGAGTTCAGAACGGATACGTTTCGGCAGTTAGTGGTAAACAGAATAGTTACTTTCCACAGCGGCTCGATGATACAAACGTCCATACTAGCTACGAGGTCTCCTTGGCTCTGTTCGATTTTGAACCGGTCATCACTGACATAATGGAATGTCACTGTACAGAACGTACTAATGGTACTTGGTAGAAACGCGAGTACAGAGTTGATGAACTGACTCTGCCGGAGACATATCTTTTGCCATTTTTCGGCGGTTGGTATGGCAAAAGAAGCATACGTTTCGGACACCCATTGTCTGGCTTCGGTTATCTTCTGTTTTATAGAAGGATGAATGGAAGAAAACGGGTTCCACGCATCCCGTCTCTGCCTCAAACCTCTGTCGCTACTGAACTCATCTAAATACTCTAGGTTTTCTTCTGTATGATCTGAACAGTCTTTGCCTATGATGAATATCCTCAATGGTAAACTATAATAAGTTATGTCTCTCAGTCTATTCGAGGTGGAGTCAATGTGAATTGTGAAGAGGTTGGGGTAGTACAATCCGTTGCATTGGAGTCCTTCTATCAGGGAAATTTGCCCTGTCTTCGAGTCCACGTGTACCAGAGACTGTACAAAGGGGGCGGATCTTTTTTCGTTAATTTTGTAAAATCTATCAGAACCTAAGCGATACACTGACGCATTGAATATAACGTCGCCCGGCTGTTGGGTGTCATCAACGAGTAACAGATACGTGTGTGTAGTTTGAACGTAATAGCAAAGGAGCAAAAACAAGTAGAATAAGTAGTTTTTCTGATTACCCTCATTCATGAGAGAATATCTTGTGTTCATTTTTTGATAAGTTGAACATGTTAGTATGTCTTCATGAAAGCGATAGGAATTTTCTGAGATTCTTCATTACATCTGAAAAAGAAGAAAAAAGATCATGTAGAACATTGAATAAGCATAAAATAGTTGAAATTGTTATGAATAATACAGCTGAAATAGTATGCAGGGTGTCCCTGGACTTTATTCCTCTCGGGAATGTATAGATGGTGTCAAAATATCACCAGTACTGTCTAAGAGTAATTTCCAGAGAGACCTGAGTTTGATCAAACAAATTCTGGTCAACAACGGTTATAGGGTAGATATTATACAGTGCATTTCTTTAATTTTCCCCCCTTGTATTTTTTGAGCGGGTCAAATTTAAATTTGGGATAATGAAATTAATGCATGAATACTTTATTTTGAAGTGAAATTGACAGATGAAAATTTCAAGATGGCGACTGGGACGTATCCTGACGAAACTTCACAACCGTAGAATATGAACTCAATATCTTCACCTACTACAAAATGGCGGAACACATTAATATCGATATTTCTAGAAATATCCCTTTTTATCTGCCATATGGCAATTTCAACAAACCGATAAGTTTCGTTAAATTATTTGTTGTTTATAAAAACGTTAATAAATGTCAGTACGACAATGAACATCATTGTTCAGTGAGAATATTCTCATTTAGTTTTCGGTTTTACTAGTAGAAAGGTACCACATCAACAATCCCTAAAATGGTCAATTCTCGTCCATTAGAAGAAAAACTTGAAGCTATTATCATTTACGGTGCGACGCATAACTCTCACGAGACCGAAAAAATTTTCAATGAACGTTTTCCGAATGGTCCTATCTGTAGAAAATATTTGAGGGAATTTGTATTTAAATTCACAACTACCGGTAGTATACATAACAAAAAGCTTCCAGGTCATCCGTCCATTCCGGAAGAACAGCAAGTGCAAATAATTGGGGAGATGGTAGTAAATCCTGAACAGTCTACTTATTCCGTCGCGAATGTTCGTGAGGTGTCTCCTTCTACTGTGTGGTTCTATATATTTGAAACAATGAAATTTCTAACTGCTCACCCAAATATTTTCGAGAAATACCGTAAAACCTACTTTTATGAAACAAGACATAAAAATGATTTTGCGTATCTCATTTACACTAAGGGATTGTATGAGCATAGCACCATCTATCAAGCGATGAAATTCTATAACAGAATCCTCCAAAATATACACAACGTCGAGGTTGTAGGCAGGTTTCTAAGGTCTTTGAAAGAATTCTTTCTCGATCAGGAGCCCTACAGTATTCAGGAATTTCTTCAAAATACGTAAAGATGTAAAATCAAACTTCTTTAGTCAAAAATTTTAGTCAGTGTATCATGTATTTAAAAAAGTATGACGTATTTTAGTTTTTTTAGCATTTACTACTATATATTTATTTTTTAAGCTCCTTGTGTGATTTTTGACAGTCCATATTTCCTGAAGTGTATGTAGATTTAAGATTTTGTATTTTGTTGATGTACTTTTACAGACAATGTATTCTGCCACTGTGTTCATGTAGGACTCCAAATACTCTGTAAAGTAAATAAAGATATATATCTATCGATCCAGTTTTTGAAATTACTATGAATCTTCATCAAGAAACAGCCGAATCAATCAGAAAAAAAAAACTTTTATCCAATCACCACTGGTAGATTTTATTTATACGACCGGCTTAGGGTTTGACCCCATTATCAAGTATAAAACCGAGATGTGAAGTTTGAAAACTCAGTTGTATCAGGAGTTTTCAGGTAAGATGTAAGAACATGTATTTGAAAAACAGCTAGTTGGGCGAACCAGGATGCCAACCTTAAAATTCAACACTGAAAATTCTAAGTATTTATTTATTTATTTATTTGACACTTTGGTACATTGAGTACATGTGCTAAGTCATAATTAAAAAANTTCCTGAGTAATTAGGCTGCTCGAAAAATGGCGACTGATTCCTCAACTCCCTCCTCACCCGCTTTGCTATGTCTGTATCGTTGAATTGTTGATGATAATAAACGATTTTCAGTCTGTGCTCCGAGTTCAGAACGGATACGTTTCGGCAGTTAGTGGTAAACAGAATAGTTACTTTCCACAGCGGCTCGATGATACAAACGTCCATACTAGCTACGAGATCTCCTTGGCTCTGCTCGATTTTGAACCGGTCATCACTGACATAATGGAATGTCACTGTACAGAACGTACTAATGGTACTTGGTAGAAACGCGAGTACAGAGTTGATGAACTGACTCTGCCGGAGACATATCTTTTGCCATTTTTCGGCGGTTGGTATGGCAAAAGAAGCATACGTTTCGGACACCCATTGTCTGGCTTCGGTTATCAATAAACTGTATTAATTAGTTTTAATATGGATTTTCATCAAGTATCCCAGTTCTATTCAATTATGTGACAAACACGTTCTTTTAATATGTTCATAACCTCTGCTATCTCTCTCACTTAAATTCGTCATATTTGGCGATGTTGTCGTCGGTAGTTGCAATTTTTGGACGTCCCAACCGTTCGTCGTCTCCCAAGCTCCTACGGCCACGTTCAAATCCGACTGCCCAAAATTTAACTGTGGTAAATGATGGTGCAGAGTCCCCATACTCAGAATCCATCTCATCTTTGATTTGTGTAGGCATATTGCGTTTCAAAAACAAATATTTAATGACAGCTCGATACTCGATTTTATCCTTTTTCTCAAAAATACATCAACTTACTCAAACGACTGTTACATAACAACCGCGCGTCCAAAATGGCTGAAACTTTGGTGAGTAACTGTCAACAGATGAACAACGAAACTCACTAGCTTTTATTTACGTGTGCTGTCATCTTCATGTCGGGATCGGAAACTTTTCAGACCACTCTCGTAAAAACAAAATAATACCTGGTGTATCATCTTCAGCTATCACAGACTCGTATATTTTAGGTTCAAAAACAGGATCGTTGTCATTGACATCTTGGACTGTTATAACAATACTTGCGCTGGCTGACTGTGGTGGTACCCCTTGGTCTGTTGCTATAACCTACAAAATGAAATGAAACATAACTTAGTCGTTTTTTACGAGTACTAAACTGATAAATGTACCTGAAACATAAATTTTGGTTGATGTTCCCTATCCAATTCCTTCGTTGTATAAACCCAACCAGAATGCGAATCGACCGATAACGGCAGATCTTCAGTACTTCTGCCAGTGGCGTCTCTTTGAGAAAGAGTGTATTTGATATCGGCATTAGGCCCTTCATCAGCATCGTAGGCCTGCACTTTGACGATGCTATAACCGACAGGAACATTTTCCAGAACGCTTTCTTGAAACAGTGAGGTATAAAACCTAGGCGCATTATCGTTAACGTCTTTGACATTGATGAGAAGTTGGGTAGTATTGGACCGGGCAGGACTTCCACCGTCTTGGGCTCTTATGACAAGCCGATAGTTTTGGAATGTTTCGTAGTCCAGTGGCTTGACAAGAGAAACATCTCCTGTCAGGCTATCGATTGAGAACTGGGACTGAGTATTCCCACTTATAATTGCATATCTTATTGCTGCATTCACTCCTTCATCAGCATCGGTGGCTCTAAAAAAATATTCAATGTCAATAAATTATTCAAATTATTGTTGTAAATATCGCCCTAAATAAAATA